GCATCATGGCGGACTTCCGAAATCTCCGTGAGATAAATAAATAAATAAATACAACGGACATCCCAAGCTAGGGCTGGGTCGAGGACAGACACGTCCCCACCTTTGCAGGATTTTGCAAAAGCGAGGGGGGAGGGCGCATCGCCGCGCGGAGAGGGCTGGGCACAGGGCACAGGGGATCTCTCTCGCATAGGATATGCACTCGGCGGCACGAGGGCAAGGCTGGGCGTCCTATGTTTGTGCTCCCCCCCGGACCCCTCGCTCTCGGGCACTAACCATCTGACCACTCATCGACGGGGCTTGGCGAGCGGCCGCGCTGCGGGGCAGGGCTGGTGAGAATGGGCTCTGGCCACTCGCCCGTGCGGTTGTAACCCCGCATCTGTCGGACAGAGGCCTCGACCGTGAGAAAAAGACAACCTGAGGCTGCGTTGAACATTTTTTTTACTCTCAACAAAGCCATGGTGAGCCCGCGCCACGTGTGCCCGACGATTGGCACACTCCGCCCAGCGCGCCGCCGTCCGCTTCCTTGAAGCGCCCTGTCAGTCTGCAGCCGGCGAGCGCCCGTGCGGTGCACGCTGTGCGGCATCGCGGCACAGCACTGCCGCAGCGCAGAGATGTAGCGCAGGGTGGCTTGGCGAGCCCACCCCGCCATGTATGCCCGACGATTGGCGCCTCTCGCGTGCAAGTCCCACTCCGCCTCCCCTCCGCAACCCCTCCCAGGCGGGCGAAGGGCAGGCTGGCGGCACGCTGACCAAGCGGCCCGGCACCTCGGGTGGTGGCGGGGCCGCCAAGGGCCCCGCAAGCGGCTCTGTCATGGCGCGCAAGGCGGCGGCCAGGCGGCCGACGGCTCGCTCGGGCGGCGGCGGCAATGGGGCGGGCATCCTGCGCTTCTACACTGATGACGCGCCGGGCCTGAAAATGTGAGCGCCCTGCCTGCCCTGCTCTGCTCTCGCTGGCTCTGCGCCCGCGCTCGCGTCGTGCTGCTCCTCTGGCTGTGCCCTCTCGCTGAGGGCGAGCGCGCGCGCCAGTCTGCCGCTCTCGCCGGCCTGCACCGCACTCTGGCTGCGCCCGCTCGCGCAGCGCGCTCGCCGCGCGCGCGTGCGCCAGCCTGCCTGCTCTGCTCTGCTGCGCTCTCTCAACCCTTCCCTAGCTGCATCCTCTCGCCCCTCCCTGATCGCCGCGTCCGCATGCGTCCACAGCGGGCCGACCACCGTGCTCGTGCTGAGCCTGCTGTTCATCGCGTTCGTCGTGCTGCTGCACATCTGGGGTAAGTTCCGCAAGGGCTAGCTGCTGCCGGGGCAGCAGCAGTGGCTGACTCTTGACTCGGTTCAGTGTGGCGATGGGTGCGGGAGCGGCGGCTGACGCGAAGCCGTGAGCGCGGCGTGGCGGGTGCGCGCGGTGTCGGAGGTGGCGGCTTCTGTAGTCTGCTCGCTACGCCCGCGTCCCAACGTCACCTCGAGAGACGGGGGATTTGACACGATTTTTACAGAGTTAAATCTTAAATGATAACAGGTGGCGAGCCATATAGCTTCTAGTGCGCTCCTGGACTCCGCAGGGTAAAACTCTAAACTCCACACAAGGTCAAGCGCTCAAGACTCAAGCGTGTGCGTGGTGCTGTATATTCATATTTAATTTTTAAATATGTGTGTCAAGTCCTCAAGATGCAAGATCGAAGATATACACACAAGACCGAAGACGAACCTCTACTACCTTCGCACGAGGAGGCCGGAGGCGCTCACTCACGCCCGCGCCCGCGGCCCCCACAGGCCCCACCTCGCGGCCGCGGCCCGCGCCTCACGCCTGACCGTCGTCTCTTTCTCTGCTCAGCGCTCGCGCGATGCGGTCGGCGCCCTCGTCCTCAAGCGACTTCTTCCGCGCCAGGATCTGCTTCATGCGCACCAGCTTCTGCAGCTTCCCGTCGCGCTCCCTCTCTGCGATGAGGTAGCCGTACAGGTTGTCCACGGCGGCGCCTCTCGCCTGCGCCACGTCCTCGCCCGCGGCGGCGAAGGCGGCGCGCGCCTGCTCGAGCGACTGCCGCCACGAGGGGGGGTGGCCATTTATGCGGGCGGGCCGGGTGCGCTATTTCGAGTGTCGGCAGAGGCGCACGCCTCGAACGCAGCAGCAAAGTCCTTTGCACCCATTTGGGCCACCGTGCGAGAGAGGGCCTGGTCGCCTTCCTTCATAGCCGCGACCTGCTCCGGCGACTCGGGCTGCGGTGACCATGCCACAGGCCCCGACTTGGCAGCGAGCTTGGCGGCGACCGCGTTGGAGGCCGCTTTTCGCGCCACGCTCCTCATCTCCGAGGCGGTGAGCGGCGAGTCCTCCGCGAGCGGCACGGCTGCCGCAGCGTCGATGCGCTCCTGAATCATCTCTGCGAGAGCGTACTTCTCCGATCCCACGGGAAAGGCGCTCCGCGCTGCGCTCGTCAGCCGTCCTGCCTCCTCGAGCTCTCCCTTGCGTAGCGCCTCTGTCGCACGAACAAGCATCGAGTCGGCGTCGTCAGCACTAGGCCCCGCCGTCGCTTGCGGCGAGTGATGGCGAACAGCTGGAGTTGGCGGCAGCGGGCAGCCACGGCGGAATACCACGGCTAGAACCACCGGAAAGACCGGCAGGAAGGGCGGCATCAGAAGTGGTTGAATACGAAACTACAACGCGTCACTATGAAAGTGTGAAGTTGGGAGCAGAAGCTCCGGGGGCGGTGAGGCGCTTTCTCGCTGTGTGGATGCCATAAGAAAAAAGAATTCTTGCTCGTGGTCGAGGAAGTATAAGGCGGGCTCCGCAGCCGACGCCGGACCATCGAAAAGCGAACAGGAGGGAGGACCGGGAGGAGATGGGAGCCCCCTCGGATGGGGGGTGGGGGGATCGGGCGGAGGAGCCCTGAGAGCTGAGTGGCGATGTCGGGTGAGAGCGATGAGCGTACGTCATGCTCGTGTCTGGTGGTTACTAGCTCCGAGTAGAGGGGGCGTTCCGCCGCTAGGGGACACCCAAAGCGCAGAAACCAACCCTCGGAGACCCGTGTTTATTTTACGGCCCTCTCCCTGCGAACGCGCACCCCCCAGGGCTAGGGCTCTCTAGCCCGTAACCCGATCCCGATCATCCGGCCCGCTGGGTGCGCTTCTCAGCTCCCCGGCCCTGGATGTGAGGCTAATGACTGCAACTCCAAGTGCTCCAAGTGCGGGAAGAATTTTGATACCGTGTCCGTCAAGACGCCTGCTGGGGGCAGCTTCCGGTAACGAAGCCGCGTCTGAGAATTTTAGACCCACTTCCCCCTACATTAGGCACGGGATTGGCGCGCACTGGCACTAACCAGTAACCACACATGAGACAAAAGAAAACGCAGTCACCTAGGATGGTTCGATGCCAGCCCGCTTTTTTGTCTTTTTCTCTTTGCGAAATGATCCAGAGGGACACGCGCCCGGAATCACACTCTCTCACGAATAAAAATCGGGCGCATCTCACCCCTGATGCGCCTGCAGCACGGCAAGCACCTGCTCCCGCCCGCGCGGCAGGTCCATCACGAGCGCCTGCATCTCCTGCGGCGACTGCCCGGCGGCCCACACCAGGAAGCTGCGCACCTCGGCCTCGCACTCCGCGTCGAGCGGGCACGGGCGCGGCCCGGCGTCCGCTGCGGGCGAGCCGTCCCCGCCGCCGGCCAAGAGATGGCCGATGGCCTTGAGGAGGGCGGGCATGTGCGGCGCGGCGACGGCGCGCGTCTCCTCGGCGTGCAGGAGCTGCATCAGGCAGCGGAGCGCGGGCGCGTTCTCGCCCTCGTCCTCGGTGAGCGGGAGCCGGTCCGCGATCGCGCGCAGCACCGCGTCGAGCGGGAGGGCGGCGCCGAACGAGAGGGCGATGCGCGAGAGCGCTCCGACGGCGTTGTCGCGCACCACGGCCTCGTCCTCCTCCTGGGCGGAGAGGCGCTGCTGCAGCTCGCTCAGGATGGGCTGCATCTGCGCCAGCGCGGCCTCGCCGCCGTGCGCGCCGAGCACGCCGAGGCAGAAGACGCCGTTCTGGCGGCAGGTGGGGTCGGGCGCGGAGGCGCAGCGAGCCGCGTGCGGCAGGATGGTGGGGAGGTGGTGGCGCCCCTGCGGCAGGGTGGTCGTGTGTGAGCGGCAGGTCGGGCAGCGGAGGCGGGGAGTGCAGTGCAGGCGCGAGGGAGGAGGCGCGCGAGGCAGGCGCGCGAGTGCAGGCGCGCACCGACGCCTCGACGTGGTTTAGCCCCTCGGCGAGGATGCCGATCGCGAGGGCGTGGTCGGAGAGCGGGTGCGCCTCGCGCAGGTAGGGCAGCAGCGCCGGCAGCAGCCGCTCGAGGTGCGGTGTCCACCGCTCGCCGAGCGCCTTGGGCAGCGTGGTGAGCAGCTCCGAGACCGCCTCCCAGACCGCCTCGTCGTGGTCCTCCTCCTCGTCCACGCCGCCGCCCTCGGAGAGGTCCTGCGCCGCCTCCTGGCACGAGTGGCGCTGCTCGAGCAGGGCGAGGGCGCCTGCGGGCGAGGGAGAGAGAGAGAGCACGGTCGCGCTCAGCCGGGGGGCAGCGGAAGGCAGAGCAGGCAGGGCAGGGCAGGGCAGGGCGGGGCAGGGCAGGGCAGGCGGCCGCGCCGTTGACGAGCGGGTCGGTCGACGCGGGGTGCCACGGCGCGTTTGCGAGGACGCAGGGGCCGAGCAGCAGCACGATCTCGGAGATGGACTCGGCCGCCGCCGCGACGGTGTCCTTGTCGTCGTCGTCCTTGAAGGTTGAGACGAGGGTGCGCCAGCTGCGCTGGAGCAGCCAGCGCGTCGCCTTGCCGAGCTTGGACGACGCCGGCGCCTCGCCCTTGACCCACGGCTGAGGCGGCTCCGCGGCGGCGCACGCCTTGACGAGGTGGGAGAGCGATAATATAATATAATATAATATAATATAATATAATCTAATCACGCCTTGACGAGGTGGGAGAGATATAATAGAATAGAATAGAATAGAATAGAATATAATATAATCACGCCTTGACGAGGTGGGAGAGCGTGCGCGCCAGCGCGCCGCGCACGTCCTCGTGGAAGTGGTCGGCGCAGCCAAGCAGCGGGCCCATGACCGCCTCGATGTGGGGCGCGAAGCTGGCGCCGCCATACGCAGCGCACGCGCCGAGGCAGTGGATGGCGGCCGCCTTCTCGTCGAGCATCGCGGTGTGGATGCCGGGGCCGTCCCCGCCCTCCTCGCCCTCCTCGTCCTCCTCGTCGTCGTCGTCGTCGTCGAGCAGCTCGTCGCCGTCTCCGTCCGGGTCGGGGCCGAGCTTTGCGAGGATGCGCGCCTGCTCGTGCTCTGAGAACTCGGTCACCTCCTCCTGCTCGACGGCCTTGACCAGGAAGGGCAGCAGCGGAGGGACGAGCGGCGCGGCCTCCTCGCCGAGCAGCTCCGCCACCTGACGAGGGCGGTGGCGGCGCGCGGTGGCGGCGCGCGGTGGCGGCGCGGTGGCGGGCGGTGGCGGCACATGGAGAGGCGAGGGGGGGTCTGGTGCGTGGCGGCAAGCTCGGCGGTGGCGGCAGCTTGCGGCGGCGGGGGCGGGGGCGAGGCCCTGGCCTGGCCGAAGAAGCCAAAGGTGTACTCGCGCAGCTCTGGCGCGTCGAGCGGCAAACCAGCCATCGCGACGTGGACCACCTCCTGGAGGACGTGCGAGCACCGGTCGCGGCCGACGGCGAGGCACATGAGCCCGACGCACTCCATGGCGCGGGCGCGCAGCGGCAGCATCTCGGAGGCGGTCTGGCCGAGCAGGTGGCGCATCAGCGCGTAGACGGGGTCGAAGTAGTCGGCGAAGGCCTTCTTGGCACCGACGGCGACGGCGGCGATGGCGGAGACGCACCGCTCCTGGGTCGGCCTCTCGGCGGTGTGCTGGAGCAGCGTGGTCAGCCGCTGCGGGGAGGGCGGCGGCGGAGAGTGAGGGCGGACGGCGTGCGGTCGGGTGCGGCGCGGCTGGATCGGCGGGGCTTGCTTCCCGCGTGGAGGGGTGCGCTCCGAATGGATTAGCATTTGGGTTTGTCCTCAGGTGGTCAGCATCCTGACACAAGTTGCTTCGTCCTCGCGCTGCGGGTGCTCCGACGGCGGGGGAGGGGCGGGCCGGGGCGGCGGAGGGCGTCTCCAGCCCCTCACCTCGAGCAGCGGCGCGAGGAAGGGCTGGATGTCGGAGCCGAGGTGCTCGCAGAACGCCTCGATGGCGTAGCAGGCGCGCCCTTGCACCTCGCCGCGCGCGTCAGCGAGCACCTGGCGGCG